TTTCTTCAAAGCAATCAAAACAGTATGGTCGTCCCCATCCTAAAACACCGATATGTGTAAATCATGTTAATTCCTACATCTCCGCGGTGCATAATGCAATGACTGTAGACATAGACCTAAAATTATTACTAATTACTGAAAAATAAGAGCTAAAAAGAATTATAAATAGTGATAAAATATTGGTGGTTAAGGTTTTTGACTGGTGACTGGTGGGGATACAATATAGGGATGGCGACGATAGACGATACATTGATGTATCGAAAACATCGATACATCGGACGTAGAACATCGATATTTACGCATCGATGGCTTCATGACGATATATCGATATCGAGAGGAATCATAAACATCCGCAACCGTATACCCCAAGTCTATCCTTAACTGTGCTACCAACTCTAGGCGAGGACTTTTAGCTTCGAAATTGAAAGGCCAGAAAGCTATTTAGGTGTTTAGTAGTATTTGAATATTATCGTTACAGACGAGCACTGAGCCACTGAGTGGCCACTGAGCACTGTAGTCTTTTCTTCATTCTGTACTTTCCCAAGGGATCGATTAAAATAGACTAAAAACAGCGCATGTAGTGATTTTCAGTTCTCAGAGAAAGATTTTCCCCTGCCGGCCCTTGACATCGTTTCGAAATATGAAATTCTGGAAACGCTATAAAAATAAAAATGAATACACAAAGCCTACTTACCTATTTTAGACAAAAACAAAAACATTGTCACCTTGACATCATTCTGCAATCTGTCAAAGTAGTGTTGGGCGTGCCTGCTGCACGGTATACGGTATCGATATTCGTTAAAATATTTTTCTTTCTACCATGAATGCGTGGAAAAAATAAAATAAGGAGAGATCTAAAACAAGGAGTTATTGAAGGCCTAAAATAGTCAGGGGCTAATAATTCCTGGCCGTATTTGAATATCTAAGCAGGCACAGTAAAACAAAAATAAGACTTGGAATTAATAAAGTTTATTTCGACAGTTGGCAGAGTTTGCTCCACTGGGACGAAGTGTTGACGGATCCCACAGAATTATGTGTCACTTGTCGATATGGTTAGTTTTATATATATCAGGAGATAATCAGCTGTTATTCAAATCAGTGGATATGTTTTGTGATTCAAATAACGTCTAATATAAATATAACCCAGAATATGTACTCAGTGAAAAAAGAAAAATATTGCAAATTTCTAGTTTTTCTGCAGGTTTTAGATTTGCTGGTAACTCTACGACATATATTTGGGTATTTCTTAATCGCTGTGAATATAGTGTGGATGTTTGTTAAGCTCCTGAACAACGAAAAATATTCAACTTCATGGATGTATGGATATTAAAAAACCAGAATGGTTTTCTGGGAATATCAATCTGAGGTGCCATAATGGTTCTGATGAACGGCAAGTAAATGAATGAATGTTTGGAAACGAGCAATATCTATGAACTTTGGCTCTAGCCAGTCATCAAGTAGGTGCTTAATGGCTATCTGCAATAGGTTTATAGGAAAAAACACCCAGTAGATGATCTTGAATCAGTAAAATCGCATATCAATTGAAGAAAATAATATGAACATGAATAAAAAATCAACAATAATAATTAAATCATGAATTTTATTCAAAAATCAAACATTTGCTTAAATTTTGACTGAATTATATGTAATTTCTTCATATTCAATAAGCTGATGATGTTTCAATGACAAGATGTCATCTCATACTTTGACAGTATTTTGTTTTCAACATTTCATAGCTATTGGTTGCTGAAATTTGTTGATTGGAACTTGAAGCTCATTCGCTGGATTTGACGGGCTGTTACCCTATAGGTGGAGAATAATGGACTGTTGTTGGTGAAATTGGCTCTAAATATTCTATATATAAGTTATATACGGAGTATGGTATCTTGATTTGGTACCCACATTGCGCAGCACACATTAGTAAGATAGAACGTGTTCACAGAAAATTTTTGAAATATATGCATTTTAAGAAAACTGGTTTATTCCCGGAAAGAGGATTTGATTACTCTTTGCTGCTTAATGAAGCAAACTTAATTTCTCTTAACACACGACGCATCTTTCTAACAACGAGTTTCTTGTAAAAACTCATTCATAGGGATATAACATGTGAATTTTTGTTAGGTAAAATTGTTAGATTAAACGAACTTACCTTAAGTGAAGTTCTATCTTAATTATATGCGGGCCTCGTGAAGTAAATAAAACACTTGTAGTTTCCCCGACTGGGTCGAATTCCACACGTTATCCAAGCTAAAAAAGAGCGACAATGTTGCAACCCTGCTCCCGCGTCGCCGGTACAGTCATTCTTCTTCAAAGCCCCACGTTGTTGCACTTTCTAGGGTTTAATGGGTTTTGGGTGGGCGTTATTTACTTCACGAGGCCCGCATATAATTAAGATAGAACTTCACTTAAGGTAAGTTCGTTTAATCTAACAATTATATGCGGGCCTCGCTTGTAAATAAAACACTTGTAGTTGTTTAAAGCGAGTGCAACAACTAAGCTGATCTTAAACCTTTGCTAGAACAAATTTCCATAGCTTAATGCTAGGTGGGTAACACTGCCTCAGCGAATATCTCGGTTGAAGTTAAAGGCCTCTGGTAGAACCCTGCAAAAACCTTTGATTTTTCCCTCCAACCTGCTGCTTTGCGGATTGTATCATAGTTAAAACCCCTGCGCGCTGCGGCGGAGGTAGATCCATGTCTGGTAGTATGTGAGCTATACTTATCTGTATCAATCCCACTTGCCCTCAGCATTGCTTTGATCCATCTACTTATGGTCTGCGTGGAGGCGCTACGAAACGGTGGCTTAGTTGTAATAAATAATTTCTCTGTGGTGCCCCTAATGGGTTTTGTTTTTTCCAAATATATCTGTAAAGCTGTTGAAGGACAAATATCTTTTTCGGAATGGAAAAACGGTAGGATTAGTGTAGGTTGTGGCACGTTTCTACCAGAGGACTTGAGCCTCTTAGGTATTTTTATCTCTATCTTATCATCTACGGTAACAATATTTTGTACTTCAATATTATGGAGAGTCTGGACCCTCTGTCCAGTGCAGATAGCCAAGAGTATAGCTAATTTCCGTGTCAGCTGCTCAAGAGTGATACCGTCATTAGGGAGTTTACGAGCAAGGTTGAGAACCAATTCCGGATCCCATGTGTCCTCATACTTCGGAGGGTTGGGACGTATATTGTACGCACCTCTGAAAAATGTTTTCACTCGAGGATCTTGTGTAAGTTCTCCTCCAATGATATGGCCTATCGCAGCTCGATAAGAGTTCAGAATACCGTATGAGACTCCTTTCCCAAATACGCTTGCAAATAAATCCATTAATGCGCTTAGAGTAGGTTTGAATAAGTCAATGTTCCTTGCCTGGCAGAACTCCCACCAGGTCCTGATGCCAGAGTTGTATTGCTTTAAGGTCGAGTCCATCTGGGACGTTGCCCTGTTTAAGGCCTTGTAGGATAAGCGCCCTGCCACCAGGGAAATGTTGTGCCAAAGCGGTTGTGACTTATTATTCAGGGAGAGAAGATTGTCAGATGGTTTAAAAATTAATGGTTCTTCTGTGAGCATCGAGGAGAATATTGGGTACCACGATTTAGCCTTCCAAACTGGTACAGCCAATATTCCCTCTGCTCTCGAATAATTTTCCGTAGCGTGCGAAGGACCAATGAAAAAGGCGGGAAGGCATAAAAGTATAGGCCATGCCAATTTACAATGAATGCGTCGACGGAAGCACAGTGTGGGTCGCCTTGCCACGATACATATTTATCACATTTCGCGTTATCCTGTGACGCAAACAGGTCTATGTCAGGTATCCCATACCGTAAAGGTATTTTTTCGAAAGCCGTATGGCTGAGTGACCACTCCGTTTCTGTCTAGCGTATTCGCGATGCGGAATCCGCTTCCTTATTTTCCGCTGAAGGGATATAGGTTGCGTAAAGGAACATATTTCTGTCCTCACACCACTTCCAAATCTCTTGGGCCAGCGCACTCAATTTTGGGTATTGTACACTGCCCATTTTATTTATGTATGCCAGTGCTGTGGTGTTGTCCAGACGCAATAGTATGTTGCAATTGGTCATTTTTCCCGCAAACGATTTTATAGCATGGAAAGAGGCTAATAACTCAAGATAATTGATATGGTGTTCTCGTTCTGTACAGTTCCAGAACCCAGATCTACTCTCATTATTAGCAGATGCACCCCAGCATATAAGGGATGAATCTGAGAAAATTTCAATGTCGTAGTTGTCCACGCGAATGGTATTTTTCGCGAACGGCAATTTCTGTAACCACCATTGAAAGTCTGGTAACAGCGAAGCATCAATTTCCATTTTGGCGTCATAGTTATTGGCTGCTTTCCTGAGAGCCAAATATTTGGCCCGTTCAAAGTTTTTCGTGTATGCCCACGAATATTTGATCGCGGGGCAGCTTGCGACGATATTGCCCAGAAATTTAGCAAACTCCCTAATTTTACAACATTTGCGTTTTGCAAATGCGTTTACAGGCTTCTGCATTTTAACCCTTTTTTTTTGGTGTCAGGCTTACAGAAATGTCTAGCGAGTCATAATGCATGCTCAAATAGTCGATGTGCCTTGAAGGAACTAACTTGCTTTTGTGATAGTTAATAATAATGCCAAGATGCTCTAGAATTTTTGTTGTTTCTTGTATGTTTCTCAGGCATTCGGAGTAAGTTTTTCCTATCATAAGGAAATCATCGAGATAAAGCACAGACAAATGGCCCTTGCCTCTGAGGTTTGCCAATATGGGCTTCATTAGTTTGGTAAATATTAGAGGAGCACAATTTGAGCCAAATGGCATTGCATTATATTCATAAAGCTTACGTTTAAATCTAAATCTGAGAAATTTCCTATATGAATGATGTATTGGTACCAAGAGTATGCATCTTTGAGATCTAATTTGGCCATGTAACAATTTTGTGACATTATTTTCGCAACCGTTTTGTGGTCCTCTAACTTGAATGAAGTTGTTCAAGCGTTTCAGGTTTCAAATTACCCTATCTGAACCATCGTGCTTTTTTCTGAGAAATATATTTGAGATGTATTGCCTATTTGGCGGTTTGGCCGTGCTGATTGCCCCTATGCCGCTCAATTCTTTAAGCGCTATTTTAATGGTGGCTTCTTCCTTGAAAGACCATTTAGGCTCTTTAGGAAGGCATCGTTGGACTGGCTTCTGCGATAGGGGTAATTTTACCCCTTTAATCCATGACAAGATCATTCTGTCATTCGTGAACTTTTGGCACTCGTGATAAAGGGAAAGTAATCTTCCAGCTATGCTAACCTTATCTACTGTCTTAGGTTCCTGGTTTTGAGTTTGTAGCTGTTCTGACTCCCCTGGTTCAGTCGACGTGGTGGCTCTCGACGTGGTTTGTAGCGGTTCGTGGAGTAACTGAGGCGCTGGTGTTGATGTCCGCCTCGACGTGCTCTCTGCTGATACGAGGCAGACTCTGGTAGTTTAACGGCTTGGCAGCATTCTGTAGTGGCTTACCCTTAACGGCCTTCAGCTCCCTGCCCGATTTCTCCAGGTCTTTGGAAGATTTTAGTCTGACTTCTAAGTCTGTCCCAAAGAGCAGCCCATCAACTGTGGCTTCCGATAGGATCTGTTTTACGTCAGAGTTCAAGTTAAGGGCTACTAGTTCGCGACGAGCGATGCTTTCTGTGCGATGCAGGTCAGTCAATAGTTTGCTGGTATCATTCAGCAATTGGATGTACGTTCTGTCGCCCCCTCCCTCTTCTTTGAGGATGAGGGTCAGAGCGCTGCCTATACAGGACAGGCTAGCGCCTATTTGGCGCTGTAAAGCAGAAAGTCTCTCGTCTCTCTGCTGCACAGAGCTGGAGATTGCAGCATTGACCTCCAAGTTAAGTGTTGGAGCTTTTACCTGAGTACAATTTTCAAACCCATCTGTATGTTGTGAGCCCATCGAACTGCCAGATCATTGTGGATAGCCGGTCCTACATCTGGCTGCGTTATTGTATTTTCGCCAAGATGTTGAGGATATCTTCCTCTAGTTGTTCCCCTTGAGGCGGCGTATTCTCCTTACTGTGTTCTTCGATGTTTACTATAAATCGAAAATCAGAGAGTCCGTCAATCATTTTTGACATGTTGGCATGTTCTGAGTTCGTGCAACGTTACACGTGGCTCGCACAGTTGAGCTGCATAAATTCCAAATGTCAATGCCAATGTAGATGTAGTAGCGAGCTGTCACAAGTTCGTGATGTAAGAAACTGTTTCAGGTATCATAGCGAGCTGTCATAAGCCCAAGATGTGCAATGCTGTCATGAATATCGGAGCGCGGTGTATAATCTATAATAGGGATCGCTGTCATAGGCATTGTAATGAACTGTCATAAGTTCATATTGTGCAATGTTATCATAAGCATTGTGGCGAGCGGTCACGAGCGTGTGCGAGGTAGGGCGATAGCGAGATGCATAATCTCATAAATTCAATATTATCTAGGTATTGCAGCAAGCTCGTGATGGAGAATATTGTCCTCAGCATTGTAGGGAGCTGTCGTGTGCTCATAATCTGTAGTGCTATCATAGCATTGCGGCGCGCTGTCTGTGATAACCAATACTGTCATAAGTATTTTATCAGAGTTTCATATGCTTGTGATCTACCATACTGTCATAAGTATCGTAGTGAGCTGTCATAAGCTCTTGATGTGCAATACTATTATAACTATTATAACAATCTGGTATCAGTTGTAGATTGGTCTCCTAACACATGTTCGTGAGTCAAGTATTCAATTATTGTTCAGAATAGGCTCATTGAAGCACTTTGGTATAAGCTATGTAAGAATGTGACTCCGTGCCAATGCCCTTTCGAGTTGATTTTGCTTACCTGGAATGTTTTCGCAGATCTCCGAAAGATCGGAAGAGCTGGCAATGCTGCATGCATCTGTGCCTGGCACGGGTGGTTGCCGCGGCGGCGACAGCGTCAACGCTGATCGAATGGAAGATGGCGGCCGGGAAGATCCTCGTGAACGAGATCGCTCAATTTCACTCAATCGCCGCTCCATCGCAGCTAATTGCCTTTTCAGACGTTTCTCCCGACTTCTATCACCACTATTGTTCCTGCTACGGCGGCGTTTCATATGCTTGGACATTTTTCTGGTCACTAAACTACTTTGTTTACGCGTACGTGTGAGTTTATTCGACACACAAACGAAGAATGACTGTACCGGCGACGCGGGAGCAGGGTTGCAACATTGTCGCTCTTTTTTAGCTTGGATAACGTGTGGAATTCGACCCAGTCGGGGAAACTACAAGTGTTTTATTTACAAGCGAGGCCCGCATATAATTCCATTTACCGTGCCCAGACGCAACACCACAAATTCTAGGGTATTCTATTGTGAATGCCCTAGAACCAACATTTTAGCTAAGTCGCCTATTTCGATAATTTGTAACAATTTTAATTTGATATGTAACAGCTGTGACATCAATTTTTCCCCTATCTCGCTAGTTTATAGTTCTATTTTGCAGATCACATTTAATATGTAACTTTTTCGAAATACCTTTTTTATATTATTCAAGTGTTTATTTTTATGTAACATTAGTTATATTTTTTCTTTTACATAAAACGAAATGTTCATTTGATTTTACGCATTTCCTGTTATTGGGTGCACGTGTACCTGTTGGAAATAAATGTCTATCTATCTATTACTTATTGAAGGGAGAGGCTTGGGCGTTTGTGTTTTTGAACATCAGTTTCCGATTTCTGCAATTCCCAAACATACCATCTCCATCGGTGCCAGTCAGCGCGAACAAGGAGCGACACGACAGTAGGAACCTATTATAGATGCGGATGGTCTGTATTCATCACGGGTATTATGTAAAAAACAATAAAACGTCAAAAAAAACCTATAACATGTCATCTTGCAGACTAGGTAATTTTTAGGGTGCAAGCAGTCATTCCACGTTTCCTCACTGGGATCGTTGTGAGCGTCCGTCTGTGTAGGGATGGCTCAACTATACGCATTGTTGGTTACATATTTTTAGTGAAGCCGAATAGTCTATAGTTTTCATCTCTGAGAAGAAAGATCGCATTTGTATTGGTCTGCATGCGTATAAAATCGATATTTGCTGTGTGAGAAAGTCATTACTGAAAATACTGCCAATGAGGTATATCTATTAGCTGTGCCCGACGGGTTATCCATATGTTGTGCTTTCTGAAGATAGGTTATGTTCAAAGTTATAAATTACGGTTTTTTCCGTTTTTTGTGTTTTCAAAAACTTTGACGAGAATTACGGGACATCACCACCGCGAACACGATGTGTGTAATTACTGTTAGCATGTATATGACTTGTTATTTGACAGTGTACAGTGAATATAATTATTTCTTAACTCTCTCATTTTTTAAATTCAGCAAACTTGCATATTTAATTACCGAAATGGATACGCAAAAGTGGATGCGCAACTAATTCCTAGCTTTGAATCTCAAGTAAATGTATTTGAGACAATAATTCAATGGAATTATTATTATTAGCACACAAATCCTCACTATGCACCTATGCGTTGCCGGTACCTCCAGTAATGCCATCTCTGAAGCAGATTTTTCATCACATCAGAGCCAAACATTGATAACTGAAGCCTCATGAGGTACCACTACAAAACGAGTTCACAACAAGTGTCATTCAGCTAATGATGAGTTAACATTGGGTAGAAAAACCTATATGGAGTGACAAAAAGACAACATAATGTCAAAGAAAATCGACACTTTTCAAGATACGTAATACCCGTGCCGGTTAGAGTATGCGGAGGCAGATGAAAATTCCGACAATCTCCACCTACCAATGGTTTGCCAAGTTGATCTCCATCCTCAACCTATACCATGTAAGATGACGGAAGACCCCTCGCTACCGGCTCTAGTTGTATGACCCTGTTTGGCTTACTCCATCCGTTTAAATTCTCTGGTGTACATGTTCGTAACTAACTTTTTCTCGGAAGGATCAACTTGTGCTGAGCTTAATCCTTCATGAACTGATAACGGCATTGCATGGAAAGAGCAGAAACAACCTACTTGACGCCAGTTTTTTCATACATACTTTAACTTTGTTTAACACTATTTCAACTATCTCGATTTTATCTCCTGCGATTTTAACATTGAAATGGCAGCAAGTATCCAAAAGCCTTCTATAGTTCAAAGTTCATCCGACAAATAACCCTGTAGGTTGTTGCCCGTTCGAATTCGCTGCTACTACTCGTCGTTGCTTCTGAAGGTGGTCCGGAGGATCTTAGCCTTCAGGTCATAGTCACTGTAATGTCAGTGTCTGTCGTCAGTCTTCCAGGTCTGGTGACAAAGAAACCAGATAAGTTGTAGAGGAAAGGGGAGAGAGAGAAAGAAAGGAAGGAAGTAGGGGCGAGAAGAGAAAGAAAAGGAATTGTTTTATGTAAATATTTGAGGTGTGATAGATCTAAGAACTGTTACATTGTACAATATAAATTGTTTGACTTGTCCTAAACTGAACTTTGGGTTTAGGTCTAAGCACGAATTTAATTTTTTTCACAGTGCGAGTCGCAGCCTGGAATGTTTGAGTATCTCCTCGACTGTGTAGTCCACTACTTCACGCAACAAACTGTTGATGTGCGATTCCGCTTGCTGGTAGCGCCGTTGTGCCATACCTATGATAAAATCCCTAAGGTAGGGGATGTCAAGATTTCTATGGATGGTATCGTTTGATACATACCATGGGGCATTAGTTATTGTCGAATTCGCTGCTATTGAATTCCCCTTTAAAGCATTGTTTTTTGTAAAGACTCGCACGGGTATCACGCATCTTTAAAAGTGTCATTATGCCAATTTTTTTTGACCTTATGCTGGTTTTTTTTGACATTATGTAGGTTTTTCTACCAGATATTAACTTAGCACTTAGTTGTACGTGTTGCCTAAACGTCATGATGTAAAATCTACTTCTGAGATGGCATTACTGGAGGTCTAGGCTGTAAGTTGTATGTGTTGATGATAATTACATTGGGATCTTGTCTCAAATACACTTAATTGACATTCAAAGCTAGTTGTGCATCCACTTTTTCTTATCCATTCTAGAAATTACATATACAAATTAGCTGAATTTCAAAAATGAGAGAGATAAGAAGTAATTATATTCACTGTACACTGTCGAGTTACAAGCCATATACATGCTAACAGTAATTACACAAAACGCAGGCGCGGTGATGATTTTCCGTAATTCTCCTCAGTTTTTTGTGATTTATAACGTTGAACATAACTCTCTTCAGAAAGCACAACCTTAAAATATACCGTTGGGCATAGCCAATAGATATACTTCATTGGCACTCCGATCATTGCAATAACTGAAACCTGGTTAGATTTCTCATGTTTGAGTAGTGAATTTATTCCAACACATATAATGTGTTCCGGACAGATCGAGATTATGTAACCACTGGTTGCTCAAGAGGTGGTAGTGTGTTGATTGCGATTGATGAACGTTTTACAGCATCTTTGATAGAGATACCTGAGTTGGCAGTACTTTCTGCCCTAAAGATTGATCTAGTAGCAGTCAAGGTTTGTACCAACTCTTTTTCAGTTTACATTTGCAATGTCTACATACTACCTGATAAGCCCAATGCTGAATATGAGCAATTTTATAATGCTATCTTGTCATCGCACGTCCTGTTTGATAAGGATTTAGTTATAACAGGGGATTTCAACATAGCTAACTACACTTCTTATGCTAATAGTCATGGACGCAACGCAAAATTGGTATCGTTGAACAACTTTGCCGAGGGTCTTGCTATTAATCAGTTTAACAATATTTCAAATTCTATGGACAATACCCTTGATTTAGTTTTCTGTAGTGGTCTGTGTGAGGTTGAACATTCGTGGGATCCGCTGCTAGATGAAGACCCATATCACCCTGCCCTGAATATTTGTTGTAATGTCAACAGCAGTCTCAATACTAA